CCAGTGGCAAAAAAAGTCTACAATTACGGGTCTCAATGATTACCGTCCGGTTGCACTTACATACATCATTAATATGAAATGTTTTGAGAGGCTGATAAAGGACATTATTGTATCCAGTCTTCCTCCAGCATTTGACTTCAGTTTGCTTACCACCCAAATCGTTCCACAGAGGATGCTATTTCTTCTGTTCTCCATCTGAGCTTGGCACATTTAGAGGAAAGAAATACTCATGTGCAACTTCAGTCGACTTCAGTTCAGCATGTAATACAATTGTTCCTCAGCATCTAGTAGACAAACTGGGCCTTTTGGGCTTTATACTCCTTTGTAAAACTGGATTCTTGATTTTCTTATTGACAGGCCCCAGTATGTGCGAGTTGGGACTAATATTTCTAACACAATTTTCTTGAGCACAGATTCTTCTCAGGGCAGCATCCTAAGTCTGCTGTTGACCCATGATTGTTGTGAAAGGTTTGCCATCAACCACATTGGGAAGTATGCAGATGATACAACCATAGTGGGCCTTATTCAAGATGACAATAAGGGTGCTTACCGCAAGGAGGTAGAGGTTTTGGTGAACTGGTGTAATAAAAACAGCCTTGTTTTAAACATTGGAAAAACTAAAGAGATCATTGTCGATTTCAGAAGAGGCAGGCACAGCCACAGTCCTCTGTGTATTAATGATTCACCTGTGGAGATGGTTAGCAGCTTCAAATTTCTGGGTGTGCAGCTAATGAATAGACTGGCTTGGTCACTCAACAGAGAGACACTGGTGAAGTGGGCACAGCAGCGACAGTATTTTCTGGGTCACATGAGAAAAGTACATCTTCCTTCCCCTGTCCTTACCACTTTCTATAGAGGGATGAACAAGAGCATCCTGTCATATTGCATTACAGTCTGGTTTGGCAGCATTACTGCTTCAGACAGGAAGGCACTGCAGAGAGTGGGGAGGATGGCAAAAAAGATTATTGGCAGTTCACTCTCTTCTATCCAGGATATAGCATATAAGTGTTGCTTGAGCAGGGTCCGCAGTATTGTCTGAGATGCTACACATCATCTTCATGACCTGTTTTTCTTGTTACTTTCTGGGAGGAGGCTTCATGGTATCCAAAGCAGAACATCCAGATTCAGATTCAGATTCAGTCACAGTTTTGTTCCACACAGTATCAACCTTGTGAACTCTCAAGCTTCCTCTTTCTGTTATTTAGTCAAGATGGACAGTGATTAATATTTATATGTTAAGGTATGGGTATATACATATGTATGTATATAGCATGTCTATATGTGTGTTATGTATGTGTACACTTTTGAAAACAAGAGAGTTTCATTTTTAATGTGTGCTCACAGAAAAAAAATGATTATCTAGATCCGTTCCAGTCGGGTTTCAGGTCTGGGCACAGCACGGAAACGGCATTGGTCGCGTTGGTTGATGATCTCTGGAGGGCTCGGGACAGGGGTTGCTCCTCTGTTCTGGTCCTGTTAGACCTCTCAGCGGCTTTTGATACCATCGACCATGGTATCATGCTGCACCGGCTGGAAGAGTTGGGGATGGGGGGCACTGTGTTACGGTGGTTCTCCTCCTTTCTCTCAGACCGGTCACAGTTCGTGTTGGCAGGGGGGCAGAGGTCGACCTCGAGGCCTCTCGTCTGTGGAGTGCCGCAGGGATCGGTCCTCTCGCCCCTTCTGTTCAACATTTATGTGAAGCTGCTGGGCGAGATCATCCGTGGCTTCGGGGTGAGATACCATCAGTACGCTGATGACACCCAGCTGTACATCTCCACCCCAGGCCACCCCAACGATACCCTTGAAGTGATGTCTCAGTGCCTGGAGGCTGTGCGGATCTGGATGGGGAGGAACAGGCTCAAGCTCAACCCTTCCAAGATTGAGTGGCTGTGGCTCCCGGCATCCGATATAGTCAGTTGACTCCATCACTGACTATTGGGGGCGAGTCCTTGGCCCCCACAGAAAGGGCTCGCAATCTGGGAGTCCTCCTGGATATGCAGCTGTCCTTGGAGGAACATCTGACGGCTGTAACCAGTGGGACCTTTTATCAGATTTGCCTGATTCGCCAGTTGCGGCCCTTTCTTGATCGGGATTCCCTGTGCACAGTCACTCACGCCCTCGTCACCTCTCGCCTTGACTACTGCAATGCTCTCTACATGGGGCTCCCCTTGAAGGGCACCCGGAGGCTCCAGCTGGTCCAGAATGCAGCAGCGTGGGTAGTGATGGGAGCAGCATGGTGCTCCCATGTAACACCGCTCCTGCGCGAGCTGCACTGGCTCCCAGTGGTCTTCCGGGTGCGCTTCAAGGTGTTGGTTATCACCTTTAAAGTGCTCCATGGCATATGGCCTAGCTATCTTCGAGACCGCCTGCTGCTACCGACGACCTCCCAGCGACCCGTGCACTCCCACAGAGAGGGCCTCCTCAGGGTGCCATCAGCCAAACAATGTAGGCTGGTGACCCCCAGGGGGAGAGCCTTCTCTGTGGGGACACCTACCCTCTGGAATCATCTGCCCCCAGAGATAAGGAGAATCCAAGACCTCAGTGTCTTCCGCCGTGCCCTTAAAACCCACTTTTTCCAGCAAGCCGGGCTGGCTTAGGAAGAATTTTTTTTAAATTTTTAAATGTTTAATTGGTTTGTGGTTTTTTAAATTTTGGGCCAAATTTATATAGATTTTAATTGTTTTTAATATTTGTATTTCATGTTTTTTAATTCTGGCTGTGCACCGCCCTGAGTCCTCAGGGAGAAGGGCGGTATATAAATTGAAAAATAAAATAAATAAAACAAAATAAAATAAAGATAATAAAGATTATCTTATCTATTTATGTATAGAGCAATTAATCCCATCTACTCATGCCTTGTAAATTTCATAAGTAAACAGTCTCACTATAAGTGAAATTCTAACTTTTCTCCTAAATGAAAGCTTTCCAAAATTTATACAGGCAAAACTCTTGGCTCTGCTGAAACCAAAAGACAATAATAGGAGAAGAGCCAATTATTTTCATAGTCTGGAATCCCATAATCATGATTAGCTTCCAATTCTCTGCTGTCTGTGCAAATGCCACACAGTAAATCATAATAAAATATTCCATATGAATATTGTCCAGAATTAATGCATTTTATTAATTTTGAAAATTCAAGCTGCCTGATCCACTTTATTTAATCCTCTCACTCCTTGGGTACTTCTTGAGTTATGATACCAATTCTGAATTTTACAAGCTTCTTTAAAACAAGCAACCAAAATCCACATTTGCCCTCAGATGATTGGCTGCCATTCTGATAAGAATTATTGCTATCATTACAGATAATACAGGAACTTCAGATCACTACAGTGAAAGTAATAATTACAAGTTCTTAAATCAAGAATGTTGAAGGAGATTATAATACCCTAAAGTTCAATTGAAGATTCTTTTGTCAAATTGGGAAGGAGAGAGGGGGAGAGAGGGAGGGAGAGAGGGGGGAGAGAGAGAGAGAGGGAGAGAGAGAGGGAGAGGGAGAGAGAGAGGGAGGGAGGGAGGGAGGGAGGGAGAAAGAGAAAGAAAGAAAGAGAAAGAGAAAGAAGAAAGAAAATAAATCTTGTACATTTCTGGAGAATTTCAGAACACTTCAAGAATGCTTAATTAAAAATAAAAAACTATGAAAAAGATAATGAAACACAGAACACATTATTATTAAAATCAATAATCTCAATGATATGATCATAATCCACAACACATAATAATATTTTGGGCTATTTCTGGAAGAAAAAAAAAAGCTTGCACTCTTTTTCATGCTGATACTTTAAAAGTTCTTTTCAAAATACAAAACTGTACTGTTCCTCTCACACTAACACACACACTACAGGTGTTAGGAGTCTTTATTAAGGCTTCCAAGCCTGAATTAGTTTTCCCTTGTGCCAGCATCAGCACAATAAGTTCTGCAGTCTATTCAAAAGAAACAAAAGAAAGCACTAATCCTCAAGGCAAAGGCAAATCTACAAGATAAGGCAAGTCCTCAGACAAAGGCAAATCCATAGGGCAAAGGCAAGAACATACAGCAAGGAAATGGACATATTGCTGCCCTTCAGTGGTGGTATTCAGCCGGTTTGCACCGGTTCAGGTGAACCGGTAGCGGCAATTTGGCCTCGGTCACTGAACCGGTGATGACTTCTGGCTAGCCATGCCCCCCGCCTGGTTGCCTGGTCACCCACTCGCTGCTCGCTTGCCCTGTCCGCCCGCTCGATGCTCACTCACCATGCCTGCCCGCTTGACACCCACCCACGATGCTCACTCGCTTGGCCACTCAACGCTTACCCCGCCCATCCCAGCCATATATATTTGCCTTCGCTTTGCCACACGGCCCAGCTACTCGCCTCACATCGTCAATCACTCCTCATGTGACCTGACCTTCCTGCCCTGTCACTTGCACATAGACAATCTGCTCTGCGGTTTGCCTGCTAGACTTTGCCTTCCATGGTGCCTACACCACAACGGAGCTGCCTCCTCCTGCTTACAGATAAGCACTCACTAGTCCCCCCCCATCCCCAGACCCGCATACCTTGCAAAACTGCCAGTGCTGCAGCCACCCCTAGCTTGCCGCTCCCACCCACCATCCCTGGGCTCATGTAGTTTGTGAAGCTGCCAGCAATCGGTTGCAGCCTAGTGTGCCACCCGGAATGGCCTCGTGTAGCTCACAAAGCTGCCAGCATTCGACTGCGCTGGCCTAGCGTGCTACCCGTTCCTATCCCTAGCCTTGTGTAGATTGTGAAGCTGCCGATGATTGATTGCAGCCTAGCATGCCACCTGTCCCCAGCCTCACATAGCTTGCAAAGCCTCCAGCACTGTAGCCACTTCTTGCTTGCCACCCCCACCCACTGTCCCCCCCCTGGGCTCACATAGTTCACGAAGCCACTGGTGATCAACTGTGTCCTAGTGTGCCTCCCATCCCTGGGCTCGCCTGGCTGGCTAAGCCACCCACGCTCCATCCCAGGCGGGCCTAGCTAACTAACCCACCTTCCCCCCAGCCTCCAGCTTGCTTACCTAGTTCACTCCCAAACAAAATCCCGAGCTGCTGGTCGCAGACTCGCCTGCCTTGTTTTGCTTGCAATCCCACAGCTGCATCTGCATCCATCTCATCGGCGAGCAACTGAATCTGTATGCCTGCCTGCCGTGTGCCTTCAATTGTGTAAGTGGCTTTTTTTTAATGCTTTAAAAAAATAATAAGTGTGTTAATTGGTTTTTTTTAGGAAATTTTATTGTTTTTTAGGAAAAAATATTTTTGTTAGGAAATAGAGCCAGATAAAATTTTAGCTGCTTTTATATTTTTAGATTTGTGCAGATTTTGTGTTTCTGTAGTGATTCACACTCACTACAAAAACACAAAATCTCACAAAGCTGCACAAATCTAAAAATATAGCTTTAATTTATAGTAACATAAAATGTCCTTGCTGCAAACAGATTGCTCACAAAATTACACAACTTAAAAAAACAATTATCACACACACAAAATCTCACAAAGCTGCACAAATCTAAAAATTAGACTTGTGTGTAAGTGTGATACTTGGTTTTTGAACCTCTGTAATTTTGTGAGGTTGATACTTGCAGCAGGGGACATTTTACGTGAAGTTCAGCTGGTTTTATGAGACAAGTTGTGCAACTTTGTGAGATTTTGTGTGTAAGTGTGGTAACTGGTTTTGGGGGGGGTATAATTTTGTGAGCAACCTGCTTGCAGCAAGGTCCTTAAATATGACTCTAAAGCTGCTTTTATATGTTGAGATTGTGCAACTTTGTGAGCTCCTGCAGCTTGATGGGTTTTGATGGATTTCTGATTGCCCTGGGTTTTGTTTTCCTGGGTTAAATTTGGTCCCAGGTCTTTTGTCTTTCCTATCCTGGGGGTTAATTCTGCCAGGAAAGAGGAAAGGGGGAGTTCCAGGTGAGTTGTTTTTAGCCTGATTTCCCTTATCTTAATGTCCATACTTAACTGTTCCTTTCAGCTGGTGCTTTTGCCTGGGTTTTTCTTAAAGGGGGAAGGGCTGGCTTGAGTTTCTTGGCACTGTTTTCTGAGGTTTCTGGTGCTGTGAGGTTTCTGGCACTGTCCTTTTGGGATATACTTCCCACAATGCCTTGATGGTTTTTATTCCAATGGCTTTGTCTTTCCTGTCCTTAGGGTTATGGAAAAAACTGGTTTTATCTGCAGTCTTTTGGGGGAAAACTGTTGTTATTCTTTTGGTATTTCCCTGTCACTGTCCAAGTTGGGGGAGGGGATGTATGCTCCCAAAGTTATCTACACATTAATAATGATCAAATACTAATAATATTTACTTATCCTTTTTAGTGAACTTTCCTTATATACTTGGTGTTTTCTTTTAAACTTCGAGGTTTCTAACTTCTGTTTCTGTTAGTTAGCCATTGATAACAAATCTCACGTTAAAAAGTATTCAAAGCCTTCTCCTTGATTTTAATTGTTAATTTATTCATTTCTACACATTCTAATATTTTTATTCATTTTCATATCTTTGTTTTTCCACTGTTGTGCAAACACAATTCTAGCAGCTGTTAACATGTGTAAAATTAAATATGTATTCCCTTTAAAATAACAAAAAATATTTCTGGTTTTAAATCCATATGTTGCTTTACCATTGTTTCTAACCATGACACCACTAACTCTTGAATAGCTAGTTGACTTGTACTGTCCTAAATACTGAACCTAATTCATATATTCCTGTTTTTTGAACTGAGGAATAAGTTTCAGAAAAAGAATTCAGTATTGCTCTGTGAATGTGCCTATGAAATTCATTCTTCTTGATCTAACTTCTTAGATGAAAAACTATATCTTTTTTGTTTGTTGGACCCCAACACATCCTGAAAAGACTGTACATTGTTGGGTGAAAACAGAGATCCCTTCTGTTAAATTTAGTCCTCAGTTTACAGCCACAATCGAGTCCAAAGTCCAGTATTGTTTTATGTCTTTTGCAGTAGTAGCCTTTAACAGGAAGGATGAAAAGGCAACAGAGTTTGACCGCTTTCTTCAGCAAGAAACCAAGATTGGAACAATCAGATACAACAGGAATGGATCCAAAACTGTCACAAGCACCACTGCCACCACTTGAACGTGGAGAAAGTCAATCTCCTCAATTGAAAGTCTTCCTGATCTTCTTGATTGCTGGACATTGCAACAATATAGCAACTTTCAAGAGAAGTATGAGGAACTGGAAGTTTCCAACAAAATATTAGGTTGTAAGTACTGCGCGAAACATGACTTTGCAGTAGAGAAAGGCATTCATGTGTCCAAAGAATGGAAACATTTCAAGATTGAGGCAGCAGGGAAAACTAAAGAAGTACAATAAGCTTCTCTTAGGAAAAAAATGAAAGAACATTTTACATCAAAAACTCACATCATTTGCAGAGAGAACTTAAAACAAGGGCAGCAAGATGCTATAACAAAAGCAGTAGATAAGATAACTGAAAAATATTTATCTACTACTTGTAGAGTATTTATGACAGTTTACAATCTGGCACAAAGATGTAAACCATTTTCAAACATAGAAGGAGAGGTAGAATTGCTAACTGTAATTGGAATAGAACTGGGAGTAGGATTGCATTCACGGTCAACTGCAGTGAAAATAGTTGATTTCATTGCAAAAAAAAATTAAAACCAAAATGTTTGCTAGCATTATTGAACAGAATCTGAAAATATGTTTGATTATTGATGAAGCCTCAATGCTATCATGCAAACCAGTTGTGATAGTTTTCGTAAAAGTTGAGTATTCAGATAACCCACCAAAATTTTTTATTCAGCTTGTTGAATTGGAAAAACAAGATGCAGAGACAATATATTCTTCAGTTATGGAAAGTTTACATAATGGGTTTACTATAGACTATCTACAAAAAAATTTAATAGCATTTTGCTCTGATGGTGCCAGCATTATGCTTGGGAGAAAATCTGGAGTGAGCACTAGAATAGCAAAAGAGTTTCCAAACATTATAATATGGCACTGCTTAAACCATTGCCTCCAACTTGTTTTAGATGACTCCATAAAGGACATTAAGTAACTGAGTAACTGGAAGCGTTGCGGTGAGACTGGCTGGAAAATAGCAGGCTCTGACAAGCCTCAAGAAAATCCAGCCAGACAAAATGCTGTCGGGAGGTCTTAAGACAGAAACTGTCCTGTAGGTATGATGAGGAAGGAGAGGCGCTTCAGACAACCAAGAGGAACAGACAAGTTCCTTGAAAGGTCGGAGGCAGCTCTTCGAACCACCGGGGGGGGGGGGGGGTAGCGGCCGTTAAAAATAACCGCTTTGAAGCTGAGGCAATTGGAATAAGATTTTATGCAGGAGCAGTGTTTGAACAGAGTACAGGTACCAGGTGAGTGATTGGCCAACTCACAGGTAAAAAAGGAAATTAAAAAAAAAACCTTTAAAAGGTGTCCCGGCAAGGAAACGAGCAGCTAATTGGCACTTGGGAATTTTAATGGAGGGAGAAGAACAAAGAGGAAGTTAAAGTACTAAAGCCCAGAAAAGAAAACTTTATATTTGGATTTAAAATTGGATTTGGAGAATGTTAGGATATGGTTTGAGCCTAACAAGTTGTCCAGGCAATATATGTGTTCTGTGACTTTAATATGAATATGTATTGTGTGACTTTAAAGTTTTCCTGCTGATTCATTGTAATGCTGAGTCATGCTGTAATTAGATAATCACTAGTTGTAAACGTATTTAAGAAAGGTACTATAACGTATTCAGTTGATGATAAGCTACCATAGTATGTGGACTTGCTATCATTGTGCTATCATCATTGGATGGATCTGCTACCATCGTGGTTTGTGAACCAGAGTGAGTTTGTTATTCTAACCAACTACTGTTTGGGTGGTAAGAAGAGATTTTTGTATCACTGGACTGATTTAACTGGCAAAGACTTGGATTGATTTAAAAGACTACGAGATTGTTTTTTCCCTATAAAGTAAGCTTTTGATAAACCAGTTTGCACATCTCTTATTCATTGCTCTCAGCAACGTTTCTCTGTGCGCTACACTCTGCTTGTTGATATTGACAACAACAATATCCTTAACATTGGTTATGGGCCATAACATAACATAACGATGTCAGGGCATTTATTAATCCCATGTTTGGCTCTGGGACTAATTACCCTGGTTTAGAGGAGATGGATCGTGGCTTATTCCAAGTTGCAATATTCTGAAAAGAAACGCGAGGAAAAGTTTCTAATAAAACTCATTTATTTGTTATAAAGAAAATAAAACACCTCACTAACTAAGAAAAGTAATTGCTACATTTTTGAAAGTAATTCGGGCCGGCTATCTCTCAGCCGGACCTTTCTGGAAAGAGAACAAAGGAAAGAGAGTGTGAAGCAAGTGAAGGAATGTGGGTGGATACGGAAACACGTAGCTTACTGATAAGAAGTTGGCAAGCTACGGAGAGTCTGACAGTCCAGAAATGATGAGTTCAGCTGGCAAATAAATAAACGCAGTGACATTCCCCTTCTTTGCCAGTTGAGCGAATATCAGTACATCATCAAATAAGGCACATCTTCTTGCGCAGATACTCGTGTTGAGCTGCTGGGAGTGGTTTGTTGAGCATATCAGCAATTTGATCATGTGTAGATACATATTGCATTTTGACAAAACCTTTTTTCACTAAATGCTTTATGTTTTGGTAACGAATGTCAATGTGTCTGGACCTAGAACCTGTGAAATGTGATTCAGAAATATAAACCACCGATTCATTGTCTTCCATCATGGTGATTGGTCAGATCGGGTGTGTCCAGATATCTGTGACTAAAGCATCAAACCAAGTTAGGGAATTACATGCATCTGAAACACAAGCATATTCAGCTTTAGTAGATGAACAAGAAACAAAATTCTGTTTACGTACTTGCCAATAAACAGGACATCCATTTAAGAACATCATATAACCTGAAGTACTTTTACGTGATTTCTTATCACTTGCCCAATCAGAATCTGCATAACAACATAATTCTGCATAATCAGTATGTGTTGGTTCTAACAATAACTTCAAATGTTTTGTGTATTTTAGGTATCTCAATAATTTCTTAATACATGTCCAATGAAACTGTTTTGCCTTACCTACGTGTCGAGATAAGAGATTAACACTAAGTGCAATGTCGGGTCTGGTCCAACTACTAATGTATAACAGTGACTCAATAACTGAACGATAAAGTGTTTGATCCTCGAATTCAGGACTTGCTTCTTGTGTCAAGTTGTGAAAATCTGTTTGCATGGGTGTCTTTCTTGTGTTAGCATCTTTCATGTTGCAATGATGCAAAACTTGTTCAATTTTATCTTCTTGTGAAAGACTAAACCCCTTCTGTGTTTTTTCAATCTGAACACCTAAATAAGTGCTAATGTGACCTAATGATTTCAATGTGAAGTATCTTTGCAAAGCTTTGGCAAAAATTTCACTCATTTGCTTATTTGGACCAATATAAACAATATCATCAACATAAACAAGAATTATCTCATATGCATTGTTAGATCTTTTTGTGAACATGCACTCATCAGTTTCGGACTTAATAAAGCCCATTGAATTTAGTTTGTCAGTAAGACATAAATACCACATTAAACCAGATTGTTTCAGACCATAAAGACTTTTGTTTAGGAACCAGGTATCCCCTTCTTGCTGTCGGAATCCTGGAGGATTTCTCACGTAGATCTCTTCGTCTAGGTCTGCATGTAGATAAGCCGTGTCAACATCAAACTGGAAAACTTCTAAACCAAGGATAGTTGCAGTTGCTAAAGCAATTTTTACACTCTCAGTTCTGACTGTCGGTGAGTAAGTATTTGTGTAGTCCTCAGGATAACGTTGAGCGAAACCCTGAGCTACAAGTCTGGCCTTGTACAGTGACCCACCATTTGGTTTCTTTTTGATTCTGTAGACCCATCGAGTGCCAATGACCTTTTTGTTTGCTGGAGGTTTTGCAGGTGTAAATACTTTAAGTTTCTTTAGACTGTCCATTTCAACCTGCATTGCTTCATACCATTTGTCTTGCTCTGAATCAGGGAGCTGCTTGATTTGTGTGAAATTATCTGGTGGAAGTGTGACATTGCAAATCAAAGGCAAGGGTGCTTTTGTCAGTTGCCAAGAATATCGTTGTGGAGGGATTCCTTTTGTGGCCCTCTTGGAACGTCTCGGAACAACTGTCCAGTCTTCTTCTGCTTCGTCCTCGTCCTCACTTTCGTCGCTAGCGTCAGCATCCACGGCTTGCGAAGACGGAACATCGGGTTGAGAAGAATCAGTGGAATCTTGATCATCAATCTGCGTAGCATCAGCAGTATCATCTCTAGGAAAATAAACTCCAGGATCATTGGAATGAATCCTGGACCAGTCAATATCTTCCTCAAAATTAGCAGATTGGGAAATCATAATTGCATGTTTAGAGTCAATAAATCTGCTCCATTTTGAGTTATCATCAATACCCATAAATCTCAGTCTCTTTGCTGCTGGACTTCCTTTTCTTCTTTGAGCTAAGGGAATGTTCACCATAGGATATGAACCAAAAATATGGATGTTTTTAAGATCAGGCTTGTAGCCATACAACATGAAGAAAGGAGTCTGATTTGTTACACTGCTCCAAGTACGGTTGACAATGTAATTTGCGTACTTGATAGCTTCACCCCAGTATATCTTACCAAGGTTGGCGTCTTCTAGGAGACAACGCATCATGGTTTGCAGGACCCCTTGTCTTCGTTCTGCGACTCCATTGTGAGCCGGTGTGTAAGGGGCCGAAGTCTAATGAATAATTCCATTCTTACGCATCCAGTCCTGGAAACGCTGAGACATGAACTCGGCACCACGATCACTTTGGATTCTGGCGATGCGAACTTGGTGTTGGGTAGAAACAAGGGTTGCAAAGTCTTTAAAGATCTGAAAAGTCTCTGATTTTTCTTTCATAGGATATACATATCCATATCTAGAGTAATTATCAACAATTGTTAGAAAATATTTTCTACCACCAAATGATGGCGGGAAAGGACCAACTATGTCAATGTGAACCAAATCAAAAATGCGTGTTGACAGGCGTGTAGCGTGTTTGGGAATGGCTGCTGCTTTGGATTTGGCCTTCTTGCATACAGCACAATCCAAAAACACCTTACACCCTTTTAGATCCAAACCTTTTGCAAACTCCGGCATCTTCCTAAGAACACGGAAACTGGCATGCCCCAATCTTCTATGCCATTTATGGATACACCTGGAATGCAAAGGTTTACCAGTTAGTGAATTCTCAACATTAACATTTTTATGCGGAACCTCAGGCTTGCTCTGAGCAACCTGTTTACCAATTCTATTTTTGTTGGCTTTAGGAGCCTTAGGAATAGCAACAGGATCTCTCTCTGGAGCATCTCTCTCTGGGCCTGTGCTCTCCCTTTTTGGAGTTTGCATACTTGCCTGTGTTTGTGGTTTAGGCTTTGGCTTTAAGTAATAAACACCACCAATTAACATGGTTTCAGCAACAATATCTCCATCTTTAACTATGTAACTTGCTTTTTCAAGGTGGTGAACTTGGAACTTTAACATTCTAGACAAGTGACACTGACTAAGCAAATTACTGGTTGCTGTTGGTATGTAATAAACATCAGGAATGAATGCATCGAGCTCTTCAACATAAACAGTTCCTTTTCCTTTGACCTGACACGCCCCCAGAGAGTCCAACAGCTTGCCCCCTCCTCGTCGTCCTCCCTAGTGATGGCGAGACCCAACCGAGGCTCGACAGATGATTTGAAAAAGAATAAAGTTCACGTAGTTCTGGTTCAGGCTCGTGCATCTCTGTGAAAAGTTCCTTTCTGTAGGTAACATGCAATGCTGCACCACTGTCCAAAGTCCACAGGAGTCGTCTGTCGTACTCTGGTTGAAATTGTGGATCATTGGTTAAAGCCAATGTGGCGAGTGGAGTTTGTGGATCACGCCGGGGACCACGACGACCTTGTCTTCCTCCTCTGCCTCTGCCTCTGGAATCTGTTCCTCTGGGCTGGTACGTGACGGGAGCTGGAACTCGTTGGGGACAATCCCGGGTGGCATGTCCCACACGATTGCAGGTGTTGCATCTTGGCATCCTTGGAGCGTAGGTCCTTCCTCGGAAGGGGCGCCTAGCTGGAGCTTTTGATGCGGGTGGTCCTCTCAAGTGTGGTGTGGCCAACATGAATGCCTCTTCTTCAATTAAAAGTCTACAGACATTGTCCACTTTGCGTTGAGCAATTGGGACTTGGTTAATTTTTGTAACAGCATCTTTCCA